CTAGCATATTTAGTTACATCTACTAACATATTTAGTTACATCTACTAACATATTTAGCTACATCTACTAGCATATTTAGCTACATCTACTAGCATATTTAGTTACATCTACTAACTTATTTAGCTACATCTACTAGCACATTTAGCTACATCTACTAGCACATTTAGCTACATCTACTAGCATATTTAGCTACATCTACTAGCATACCTAGCTACATCTACTAGCATACCTAGCTAGTTTATTTTCTCGGGTCTTCTGATGGTGAAGCAATGAACAACCTGAAAAGTTCTGAGGTGTTTCAGAATCTCCACAGTAATAAGGTCGGTGTGTTTTGTTAAGAGGTGGGACACAATCTTATTGACCTTAAAGCAGACACAGAGCCAGACAAAGCCTTAAAGTCCTCCATCACTGACCTTGGTTAATTACAAAGAAAATCATGAAACTGAAGACGAACAAATATTATAATGCTGTGACCTCCATACACTTGAAATCATAAAGTTCTTGTCTATCCTTATCTGTAGGGAGGAGATGGGAACTATATCTCTTTTCACAGGAACACTCTATGCTTACTGCTACTTCCTGTCTGACAGGAAGTTGTACCCATAATCATTTATACAGTAGAGCCCCCAGGAATAAGGTGGATAAGTTTTGTTGAAACATCTAACAAGGTTGAGTCAGGTCCTCTGGATGGATTCTTCTTTGTTGAAACCTTTTGTCTTTTGGAATCCGTCCAATAGGACCTGATTCAACCTTGTTAGATTCTTCTACCTGGATTATTGAGCATGCATCAGGACAAATGTTGAAACGGTCGTAAAGATTGCTGTATATTCTCACAGCCTCGGCCAGCTGCTCCTCGGTGGAGCAGAATGAGAGCAACATACTGCAGACACCTTTCTGACCAATCACACAAGACTTGGCGTACACCCTGCAAAGGGATTATGTACAAAATCTGCAATGTGTTCATCCGAGGTTAGATTTGGCACATTTTAAGAGATGCTAAAAATAAATGGTGATCTGGAAATCTCCACATAGAAAAAGTAGGTTCCTGCCTGTTAACCTTCGTAGGATAATGATATAAAGTAGGTGTACAATTTTGTTCTGTTCTATTGCCTTGTAATCTGCAGGAGAAGCTCTTGATAACGTTTTTCTTGCAAACATCTTGTCGACAGGGTTTCCCCACTCATGATGCTGAAGGGAAAGAGCTCAGTAAAGGACAAGCAAAGAAGCTGCGTAAACTCTACGAGGCTCAAGAAAAGCTGCACAACGAGTATCTGCAGATGAACCAGAACGGCAACTGACGGTTCACAAACTGTCCAGGCGATCCACCGGACACTAACGCCACCAAAATAAAAGTCAACAGATGCTGTGTCACAATTTATCTCAAGTTGATCATGTTTAGATCTCATAACATGATGATGATTCTATTTTGTATATTTCAAAACCTTTTGAACTGATTCCATAAACCTGGATTTTATCAAAGTGATGAAGAACTGTGCGAACCACCACCGTGTAACGTTTGCTTTTAACCGCAAACAGTGGCGAGAAAATGAGCTTTAGTTCTGACTCGCACGGAGTCACTGCCACTCACAGTTCAGTCTGTTTACACGTTCACTCGGTTATCCTTCATAAAGGAAACGCCTCAAAGGTGGCGCGATGAACTGAAAGACAACAAACTGCTGCTCTGCTTCTTTATCACTGCAAAGATTTCTACCAAGGTTCTTTTGAATGTTTTCCATTTTATGATGCTGAATTTGACAGCCAGCTTTAATTTCCTCACATTTTGACTCAAACATTTATTCTAACAAGTCAGGTCCTCTGGACAGTTTCTTTTTGTTGAAACGTTTCGTCTTTCATCCAAAGGACTTCTTCAGTCCGAGGAGCCACAACAAACTCAGTCTTATAAATAGTACCTTCACATAGTGGCATGAATCAGGATATTTTCAACCACTTTAACAAATGAGTCGGCGGGGCAGAGGGCGGACTCCAGAAACCATCTGAGCACCATCAAACTGGTTGACCCTTTATGTGAAGGTACTATTTATAAAACTGAGTTTCTTGCAGCTCCTCGGACTGAAGAAGTCCTTTGGATGAAAGAGAAACCGTTTCAACAAAAGAAACCGTCCAGAGGATGAATCAGGATATCAAACTTTGATTGTTTTGGTTTGGTCTTCTAAAATCAGACATTCCTCTTAAATGGTGATGAAGAGGACCAAAACAGCAACTCTCAAAGACCTTCAGAAAATCTGGAGAACGACCACGTTAACAGATTCCAGAAAAGTCTGGATCGCTGGAAGGAAACAAAGCTAAGGAGTGGATCTTGATTTATGCTCCATCATTTGTAAAACTCTTCAGTGAGTCTGGTGTCTTTTATGGAAACCAGTTTCCTTCCACATGGAGGTTTGTGTGTGGGGGGGGGGTTTATGTCAAAGTGAAAGGAGGATGTCTGAGGATTCAGCTTTCTAAAGCCGGAGGGGACGCTGCACGGTTTCTATACCGGATTTTTTTTTTCCACAATTCCCAGTTGCAGAAAGTCTGCACCAGTCTGCAGTAGTTGGGGCCAGTTGGAATGACAAGTTGAAAGCAACATCTGTATTGGTGGTAGACACAGTCCGCAGTGTGTGAGTCATCAGAACACGTTTGAACTGAACGGATGAACTGGGTGAACTGATTACCAGCTCAGCTACAAACACACTGCCAGCAGCCAAAACAAAGAGGCAGCAGGATCAGCAGCAGGAGGAGCAGCAGGATCAGCAGCAGTGGTGATGTTCGCTTCCCCCAAATTTTAACTCTGCACCTCTGAAAAATAAAGAAACCATCATTAGGGTTTTGGAAGGAAACTCAGTTCTCAAACGTTCGATTCATTAAAATTTGGAATAAATTATGACCGTCTTCAACAGGCCAGTAAAATTATGATTTTATTTTATTTTTTATTTCGTCAGCTCCTCAACACCACCTGTCAATCAGTCCAGTTGACTCATCAGCAACTGTCCAATCGGCTGTCTCAATTTGTCCCAAAGTGAAACACCCCTTATCTGGGGGTGGGGGGTGATGCGTAAGAGAAGCGGAGCATGCTCTATAAGGGGAGCTGTTGGTCAGGCTGCTGCTTGTTGCTCTCTAGAATAATTATTGAATCCAGTGTTTACTTCTGTATGTAAACATAGATGTTTAAAAACATTAAAATACACCAGTATGCAGGAAATGGCATCTACTTTATTCTAAATTGTATTGGTTAGGACCCCCCCCCCCCCCCAAAAGATCGGAAGTAGATTTTTGTCCAGGGATGTGCTT